ATCTCCACCGCAGTGTCCAGCTGGGCTGCAGTACGTGCCTGCTCTTATCCGTGATCGTCTGATCTTCTGGGCACACATGTCACCCTCCTCTGGTCACCCAGGTATCGGTCGTACAGTGCGCTGCCTGAGCAGAAAGTACTGGTGGCCTACCTTGGCTAAGGACGTGAGGGTGTACGTCTCCTCCTGCTCGGTGTGCGCCCAGAGTAAGGCACCTAGGCACCTCCCAGCGGGTAAGCTACAACCGTTACCAGTTCCACAACGACCATGGTCTCACCTTAGCATTGATTTTCAGACTGATCTTCCCCTCTCCCAAGGTAACACCACCATCCTGGTCATTGTGGACCACTTCTCAAAGTCCTGCCGCTTCCTTCCTCTGCCCGGTCTCCCCACGGCCCTGCAGACTGCGGAGGCCCTGTTTACTCACATCTTCTAGCACTACGGGGTACCAGAAGATATAGTGTCTGACCGAGGTCCCGAGTTCACGTCCAAGGTCTGGGAGGCTTTCATGGAACGTCTGGGGGTCTCGGTCAGCCTGACCTCTGGGTTCCACCCCGAGAGTAATGGGCAGGTGGAACGGGTAAATCAGGACGTGGGTAGGTTCCTGCGGTCCTACTGCCAGGACCGGCTGGGGGAGTAGTCGGTGTTCTTGCCATGGGCAGAATATACCCAGAACTCTCTCCGCCACTCCTCCACTAACCTAACGCCTTTCTAGTGTGTTCTAGGTGACCAACCGGTTCTGGCACCGTGGCACCAGAGCCAGACCGAGGCTCCTGCGGTGGATGACTGGTTTCGGCGCGCGGAGGAGATGTGGGATGCTGCCCACGTTCACCTCCAACGCGCCGTGCGTCATCAGAAGGCCAACGCTGACCGCCACCGCAGTGAGACCCCCGTCTTTGTACCGGGGTATCGGGTCTGGCTCTCGACCCGGAATCTGCCCCTCCGCCTGCCCTACCGGAAGCTGAGCCCGCGGTTTGTGGGGCCGTTCAAAGTCCTGAGGAGAGTCAACGAGGTCACATATAGGTTATTACTTCCCCTTGATTACCGTATTAACTCCTTCTATCACATGCATCACAAAGGAATATCAAAAACTAAAAGCTATTAACAGATTTTTTGTTTGGGCACAGGGTTGTGTTAAAAAATCATGTGAATGTGAAATGTGAACATTTCAATTTGAATTTGAGAGAGGAAGAGGGAGGGAAAGAGAGTGAACCAAAGAAAGAATGAGAGAGATAAGAAGGAATGGGTGAGGAGACCTCATATCAACCGCTTGGCATCGGCCAAATAGGCCTAAATGACTAAACGAGGTCGGACAATAACCATCACTACTATTATAGCCATTACAATTCCTTTGATTGTATAAAGTCATTATCACAATTGCATATTACATTAGTCACACACATGCACACACACACGCGCGCACACACACACACACATCTGTCCGACTGCCAAGTGCTTCTCTGTGCACGGGGAGAAATGCGTTAATTTAAAATCATGTCACATGCTGGGCAATTATATTCAGTCGCGCCACAAGCCCTTAAAGAGAGCCCAGCACCCATTCATATGGTTCTCCTAGCAGTAGTTGATTTATATGGTGCTCCTAGCAGTAGCATAGCTCAGACATAACAGGCCTGTAGCTCTCCTAACAGGACTAACTCCAACGTAGACGTTCTGCGAAGCCTGAAGAGGGAGGGGGAGACATGGGGAGATGTAATATCATCAGCCATCGCTCTCCCTTCTCCTTCTCTCTTTTCTCAGGAAGTCAAGAGCCCAGAGGAGTGTATGTAAACAACAAACAAACACCAAACAAACAACAACAACATCCACGTTGTTTACATTCCTAAGACAGCCAGCTCCTCCTCCTATCTAGGCCACACACACACAGACACACTCCAGGCTGAACCATAGGTGACACCCACAAGCTTCCAGGAAGGACACACACACACACACACATGTATAACACTATCATAACAAACACATTATACATTCATAACACACATACAAACACAGCTAATCACACAACAGAACATTTTGTCTTTTAAAAAGCAAGAGGCAGGGACACTCATCAAGGTGGTCGGGGTGGGGGGGGTAGTTTAGTGTGTATTTAGGGAGGGGAGGGGGTAGTGGTGTATGTAGGGGGGGGGGGGGTAGTGGTGTATGTGGGGGGGGGTAGTGGTGTATGTAGGGAGGGGAGGGGGGGGTAGTGGTGTATATGGGGGAATAGTGATGTATATAGGTAGGGGAGGGGGGTAGTGGTGTATGTAGGGAGGGGAGGGGGGGGTAGTGGTGTATGTAGGGAGGGGAGGGGGGGGGGGTAGTGGTGTATGTAGGGAGGGGAGGGGGGTAGTGGTGTATATAGGGAGGGGAGGGGGTAGTGGTGTATATAGGGAGGGGGGGGTAGTTGTGTATGTTGGGAGGGAAGTGGGGGATAGTGATGTATATAGGTAGGGGAGGGTGGTAGTGGTGTATGTAGGGAGGGGAGGGGAGTGTTGAGGATAACAATGAGAGTGTGGGGCCATAGTTATTTAGTTAATTTGATATGGTGGCTTAAGGAACTATCAAAAACGAAAAGCTATTAACATTTTTTGTTTGAGCACAGGGTTGTGTTAAAAAATCATGTGAATGTGAAATGTGAACATTTCAATTTGAGAGAGGAAGAGGGAGGGAAAGAGAGTGAACCAAAGAAAGAATGAGAGAGATAAGAAGGAATGGGTGAGGAGACCTCATATCAACCGCTTGGCATCGGCCAAATAGGCCTAAATGACTAAACGAGGTCGGACAATAACCATCACTACTATTATAGCCATTACAATTCCTTTGATTGTATAAAGTCATTATCACAATTGCATATTACATTAGTCACACACATGCACACACATGCGCGCACACACACATCTGTCCGACTGCCAAGTGCTTCTCTGTGCACGGGGAGAAATGCGTTCATTTAAAATCATGTCACATGCTGGGCAATTATATTCAGTCGCGCCACAAGCCCATAAAGAGAGCCCAGCACCGATTTCTATTATATTATTACAAAACGCACATGGTTATATTGCTTTTTCAATTGAAATTTTACCTTGTGCCATGGAGAAGGCCCCCCCACCCATTCACACGTGTTCTGGGACACAGATTAAACCTCATCACAAATGGCCAAGGTAGTGCAACAACACACTAATCTAGCCATTTGTACGAGCAATGTCTCAGAGCACTACTCGCACCCACACACATGCAGTTGACATCTGACTGACTGGCAAACATAAACATACACATTGTTCATACATACACATTGTTCTGCGGAGAGGAGAGGTTATGAGAGCTGTGTTATGATGTAACTGTAGTATTTGGCTGAGGGACTGAAGCCTGTTTCTGAGAAGTCAGTAGAACATGAGCTCAATGAGGCTTAAGTGATCATAACTCCAACTCACCTCAGTGTTTGGGAAAAACACCTCCGTGTGTGTGCGTGTGCTCTCCGTTCCCCTAACTCTAAACAAAACAAGCTGCTCAACAATGTCTAATCCTGAACAGAATGTAATCCTCCTTAACTCCCAGCTAAATGGAGGGAACATTGACAGAGTTTTTATCTACCCATGGAACATCCCGCCCTAGTTTACTCAAAGGTACTGTTTCGGACATGGAGGGAGGGTGAGGTGAAAGAGGGGTGAAAGAGAGAGACAGGGGAGGGAGTGAGGACAAACGTTTTTTGAAATACGCCACTATGTCTAGGTTTATTATAGGACTGCTCTATAATTAACCACACACAGCAGCTGACAATTCAATCAGCCTTTTTTCAGCACTGCTATGCTATCCTCTAAAATCACACCACCTCAGTAAAGTTCATTTAGTTAACTAATTTAGTTCAAATTCATAAAAGCCATTATTCTATTCAAAGAAGTCCATAAAACAGGAGACAATTCAAGGAATTATTGTAATGGGGCGAATTAGCTATCTGATTAGCTAATTGTTTAATTAGTCATTAAACAAACCTCCATGGTCTGTTCTTAAAGCCAATCAGTGGCACTCAGCTGGAGCTAGGCACTATAGACAGAGGGCTCTCTGGGAGGAGAGAGAGAGGAGGGCAGAGACCAACTGACTGGGAGGCTAGATCACATGATTTACCAAAAAGAGAAACTAATGCTAGAAAAAAAAAGTGAGTGAGATAAAGAAAGAGAGGAGAGAGAGAGGGGGAGAGAGAGAGGGGGGCGAGGAGAGAGAGAGGGGAGGAAGAGAGAGGGGGGGAGAGAGAGAAGGGGAGAGAGAGAGAGGGGGGGAAAGACGGGGACGTGAGTAAAATAAAAGAGAACAGATGAGAGAAGAGAAGAGAGAGAGAGAGAGAGACGAGAGAGAGGGGGAAAGAGGGAGTGATTAGATAGAGGAGTAACGAGAGCTCGCTCTCTCTCTCTCGCCTCTCTCTGCTCTCCTCTACGTCTCTCTTCGTGGTATTGGGTTAGAGTGATATTTGGCTTTTTGCACCGCCCCCCCCGCCCCAACCCCAACCCCCTCTCTCTCCACCATCTCTCTCTCTGTCTTTCTCTCCTCCTTTCTCTCTGTCCATCTCTCCTCTCTCTCTCTCTGTTGTTGTGGCAGATGGTGCTAGTCATTAGCGTATTGCCACTCCCTTTGAAGGGCCAGATAACCAGTGCTTGGAGGCGCAGGTGCAAGACCCCGGCCCCCACCATCTGCTAACACACACACACACACACACACACACACACACACACACACACACTGAGGTAGAGAGGGAAGGAAAGGGGCGAGAGGGTTTGGTCAGAGCTCCTAAATAAAAACATGAAGAAAGTGAGTCAGTCTCCCACTGTCTGTACCAAACACCTGACAGCCCCAGCCATAGGAGAGAGCGAGAGAGAGCTCTGATAAACAAGGGGAAGACATGAGGAATGGAGAGAGGCAGGCGAGAGGGATGATAACAAAGAGCTTCAGAGAAAAACAGAAAGTCAGGTGACAAAAGAGAGGTAGAATAGAAGATAGAGAGAGAGATAAAGATGAGAGAGAGAAAGTCAGACACAGAGATAGAGATAGTAGGAGAGATAAATAGCTAAATACTAAATAGTGTGCATGTTTCTTCTGTTTGCTGATATCTGGTGTTTCTCAGGCAAACTGCTAATCCCAACAGCCCTCACACACACAGGGCCAGTTCAAAGGTCACACTTCTGATGGGGGCATAGTGAGGGGCGGGGGTGGGCCGTATGGGGGCGCGCGTTTGAATTTAAACAGCCCCCAACCCACTCAGTGATCCCCCACCCCTTTCCCTCTGAGTGAGTGTATGCATTTTCCCAAACAAAAACAACAACACCGGCAAAAGCGTTATCGACCGACCATCAGCTCAATGAGCCAATGAACCAGTAAATCAATAAACTAATGAAAACCCTGATCCCTCATTCACAAAAACACAAGGCCAGAGTCATCTACAAACAGATACGCACAGCAGCTGTCACACACACACGCGCACTCACACACATGTTTAGAACAGAATGTCACGCCCATATCCTTGGCGTGTAGGTAAAGAGATTTGAAGGTTTTATCTCTAATAGAATGTGTTTGTCAAAAGAGCAGCAGACTCACACACACACACAATAAAAAGGTCAATTCAGCCTCAGATGATTTGCATTCCAAATCCAGCCACTCGCGAATTAATGTGAGCATGTGGAATGCAGACTATGTCTCGCCTTGTGATGGTGAGGGGAGAATGTGGAAAAGCCGGTCATTTCTTAGTAAACACACACATTCACACACAGTGAGGCCCTGTGGCTGCAGTCTAAGCCCTCTCTGTGGGGTGGGTGTTTATGATTAGAGTGTTAGTGAGTGGCTGGCTGTGCTGGCAGCATTCCTGATCGGGGCAGAGTATTGGGCCGTTCCGGAAACACAGCTAACTGTTCTTTCTCTCCGGCTGATCTTTTGTTTTCAGGAATGCCGTAAATAACCAGGCAAGCCAGCCACTGCCAACTTTTACCGGATCAACACTGCTCCCTTTCTCTCTTTCTCCCCCTCCTCTTCCATTCTTTACCCTCTCCCTCTCTCTACCTACTGGCTCTCTGTGGTCTGTTTTGTCATGATTTAGAAAAACAAACTAACGTCACTCCATTCCGCCTCCTCCCATCTCCTCTCCTTCCCTAGCCTAGGGCCATGTCTTTCTTCCTGCTCAACTTATTTAGTAGAAAAAAATACATTAGTGCAGAAATGCCTGCTATACCTAGAAAACAACTCAGCAGACATACTCATGCTCAAACGCTCATTCAGACACAACCCAACAGAAATACCTTATTGCACAAATATACAAAAAATACACTAGCATAATACATACTACAACTACACACACACCCTTAATTGAATATGATTGACCAATAAGTGTGAAGGCTTTTTAGTCCAGGTGCAGTGTGTGTGTGTGTGTGTGTGTGTGTGTGTGTGTGTGTGTGTGTGTGTATGTGTACTATGGTCTGTTTTGTAAAGTTCCTCACAGTAAAAAAAAACAAAGACATCTCCAGTAGGTTAGAAAAACAAGTGAGCATTCACCTCTCCCAGCAACCTTTGCACAATGCCTGCATTCCTGCCCTGAAGCCCAGTACCTGACAACTGATAAACAACTGACTCACTTGTTTTTCTGGGGGACCCAGTGCACTGACTGCACCCAGCCCTACGGTATACAGCCAGAGAGGGAGACAGAGGAGAGAGAAAAGGAGGGAGTGAAAGAGGAGGAGAGAGAGAGCTCCCTTCAACAGTGCATAGCAGATCACTACGTCAGTGGGCAGCTTCAACAACAACATTGTGTAACCACTGCCTATAGGCCTACAAGTCATTCATACTTCACCATCAATGTGCAAACCTATTATACAATGGGTACAGATCTATAGTAAAGTATGACATAGCTCTTAAAACATATATAAATAGTTATTTAATGTTGTATAACAAGCTACTGATGCTGCAGTAGACGTAAGCACACGTAAATCTGCCAGAACGAGGTGAAAGGTAATGTTTTGGTGTTCCCAACCCTCCATCTCATAGGGGACGCATCAATATTTACGCATTACGCACGGGGTTGTAGTGTGATTTGTTAGGTGAACAAACTGTCCCCAAAATAGATTTCTTTCTCATGATCATTTTGAACAGAAATTAGTTTACTTCCCACTATATTTGCTGTCTCGTATCCTAAGGTAACCTCTCAGAGCACATATAACCTAACTGTGTCATTGAAATAAGAAAAACCCTGGTCCATACTCACTGGGCACAGATGACAATTCAGCATCTATTCCACGTTGGTTCAACGTCATTTCATGACGTGGAACAACGTTGATTCAACCAGTGTGTTACCAGTGGGTAGGCTATTCCTTATGGATTGTTCTAGCATGTGGAGGAAAAAATATTCTGCATCATTGAACCCCTTGGGATGTTTTCTTGTACATTTGTACTAGCGTAGTCTGGTACAAAGATAATAACTACGTCACAGGGAACGCTGCTGGCTGGGACTCGAGTGCACACATTGATCCAGAATACAAACGACTTCAATAACTTACTTCACAACACCATGCATATTTCCCACAGTCTTGGGCTTATTGATGTACTGTATGGGTGTGACGGGCTACTCCTAATCCAATCCAAATACCACAGTTTACAAGCGCTTATTACACTGCTTGCCAGGGCCAGAACATTTACTGTCCATTTATCATGGTGCTTCAACTTGCCCTGTCATGCATCATCCCATCCCCCTATGTTTGACAAATCACATTTAGAGAAGGAAATAATATCTGAAGTCTATGGTCTAGTTCAGAGGTGTCAAACATATGGCCGGATCCGGCCCCCGAGGGGGTACAATCTGGCCCGCGGGTGGTTTGAGTAAAAATCTAAATAGAAAAAAAATAATAATAATGAAAACAACATTTGGGGGGGAAACTAACTCAATATACTTTAAGTTGACTAAAACTAAATCGAAACTGTCTAGAAATTATACAGTTTCTTGACTGTCCAGCTCACTAATAATCACTGTGCACAGTCAGGGAGCATCGAAAATTCCAAAAACGATGGATAGAGGACAATTATTTCTATTTTTGAGGGCACAGAAATATTTTTCATAATCAGTGTGGCCCTCCAGACTCGTTGAAGACCGAATGCGGCCACCGGGGCAAAATTAGTTTGACACCCCTGGTCTAGTTAGTAGTCACACTATAAGCACCAATGCGTTTGTTTAAACTAACTTACAATAACAAACAGATCAACACTAAACAGCTTGAAAAACATGGTTCATTTTTACATATTTTCCTTGAATATACAGCACATAAAACGGTCACATAAAAAGTAGGCTAATATGGGCGCGCTTAATTTTTTTTTTAACAGTTTTAGTCATTTAGCAGACGCTCTTATCCAGAGCGACTTACAGTTAGTGAGTGCATACATCTTCATACTTCATCATTATAAGACTGTGTTGCTTCCACAAACATATATATTTTTATATCTCTCTCATGAGTAGGTTGCTCAAAACCATCATGCTATCTCGTCACCTAATTAAAAAGGCATGTAAAAAACAAACTGACATTAAATATTGGATGCGTCAACAGTATATCAAATACCAAGTCCACAGGCTAGATAAACAGCGCCTTTGTAACCATTGCGCAGCTCCTTTAGTTTTTTCCACTTGGGTAAAGTGACAGGGAGCTGCTATCCCTAGAGCCGGGAAGCAGAGTTCAATTTCACTGCCAGTCGATCCAGTAGTGTGTACAGTAAGCCACAGTGTAGTGTGTTGGCTGGCTACAGTGGGTTGGCTGGCTACAGTGGGTTGGCTGGCTACAGTGGGTTGGCTGGCTACAGTGTGTTGGCTGGCTACAGTGGGTTGGCTGGGTTCAGACTATGAGGGATAGAAACCTGTGGTCTGCGTGCCACGCTGCCGCATCATGACAATCACGCACGCACGCAGGCAGCTGCTGTCCGTGCCACAGAGGCAGTCTAAATTCTCTGGCATTATTAGAATGTTGGCTTCAGTAGGACACAGTGAACACACAACGTCTCCATAGGACACAACAAACTTGGAGTGCACTGCTGCTTAGCAAAGGGTAAATATGCCAAATAAATGGGTTGCTATCACTACAGCCATATCTTTACTCAAGCCCTGACACACACTGACTGTTTGAATTAAGTCTGGATGAATGAATGAATGGGCTCATGATAAGCATGCAAACACACACACACACACACAGAGTCAGCGGTGTCTCACCTTTCACTGCTGTTGCAGTTTCCTTGAAGCCCATGGTGGCATAAGGGCTGGTGTTAAAACCGTTCATGCCCCCCTTGCATCCGCACGCTGCCTTGAACCTCAGCAGTCCCTCACTGCCCCCCAGACTGCTGCAGCCCCCAAGGCTCCCTTCCATCAGGTTTAAGGCAATGTAGTTGAGTCCGTTCTGGTAGCCCGCCGACGTCTCCCGGCACATGGGGCTGTTGCTGTTCCCATACTCTTCATCTGAACCCTCCGAGCTCCGGACTGGCCGCGACACGTTCTCCACCGACGCCGAGCTGTGACGCTTGTTGGCATCGGGGGCGAACGATGGGCACACTGGCGTTACCATGGTGGTGGAGGAGAAGGTCTCGGAGCTGTGGCGCCTGCGCCCCTGGGGGTCGGCCCGGATCACCTTTGCCCCCCTGTCTGGGTCGACGATGGGGATGGAGAGGGACGGACACCCCAGGAAGAAGGTCTCGACAGGAACCGGGGGGACCCCCACTGCACCCTCTCCCATCAGGGTGAGTCTCTGGACACAGGCAGAGGGGCTGGTGGGCAGGGGGGTGGTGGTGGTATCAGAGGGGCACAGGGTGGCAGGGAGAGAGGCAGAGGGAGAGGGGTTGGTAGGACTGAAGGTCATCTCAGTGTAGTCGTCTTTTACAGCGCCAACCGGGTATACAGGGCTCGCATGCTTTTGGAGAGGATATTCCACTATGATGATCTTCTCCTGTTCCTCTCGCTCCCTCTTCTCTTCTCTGTGAGGCTGGCTGGGACACACAGGGAGCGCAGGACTCGGCTCCAGGTGCCCTATTGAAGAAGGGGAATCCCTGTGTTTGGGAGAGTGCGAGCTGACGTCAATGTTGACGTAATCGGAGAGTGGCGGGGAACTCCTCATCGGCCCGTCCACCGAGCCCAGTGATGAACCAGAGCTCTCGGGCGGGTAGCGTGTAGTGTTGCCAAAGTCGATGTTGATGTACTCCCCGGGACTCCTGGGCTCAGAGGGCAGGGGGTGTTCGCTCATACAGGGCAGCGTCCTCAGAGAGTCCAGGGCCAGCCGGGTAGGCCGACTCACCCTCCCCCTGTGGACCAGACCCCCCTCCTGAGTGACCCTGCCAGCTCTGAGGGTGGAGGTGGGGGGCGTTCCGGTGCAGACAGGTGAGATGGGGCAGTAGTTGGACTCCTCCTCTATCCTCTGCTTCTGTAGACTCATCACCACGTATTGGTCTGTGTCTGTAACCCCGTTCCTCTGGGGCTGGGCTTTGAGAGAGCGGGGCAGGGAACTGTTGGAGTAAGGCTGTCTGTGGTGAGGGTGAAGCTGGGGGGTAGTGTCTGTGAGGATGTAGTCTGGTGGGGTGAAGGAGACCAGGGGGTCCACAGGGGACATGGTGAGTTTCCCGTCTGAGCTGTCCACAGACATCTTGGCCCCGCAGAACATCCTCATGTAGCCACTGTCCTCCAGAGACATGCTTCCAGGGGAGTCGGTATGGGAGCCCAGCCCAGCTGGAGAGGGGTGAGAGCGGGGGTTGATGATCTGCTTGGGGGCCGACACACACATGGGGCTCATGGGCATGTAAGCATCACCTTTGACCCACCCTGTCTGAGGGGCAACGCCCGGAGTCATGGGCATGTAGCCACAGTCACCTAGGTGACCGTTGGAGCCTATCTGGACATCGCCATAGTCCTTGGGATAGGTAACCTTCGGGGAGGCGGTGTGAGAGCTGCGACCCGATTGGCCGCCACTGGTATAGGTGGCCCTCATAAGCGTGTATTCGTCCAATGAGGTGGAGGAGACCTGGGGCGGCGCCCTGTGCTGGGGCGGGGTGTTAAGGGAGTATGTGCGTTTCCGGTATGCCTTGTCCAGCTCTGGTAACCGGCAGAAACCATTCTGGTTCTGCCTCTCCATCACCATGTAGCCATGCAGGTTGCTGCCATCCCGGGAGGGGGGTGTGTCTGCCCTTAGAGACTCTGGGGTGTTGCTGCGGCGAGTGAGGTACAGGGCTGCAGGACTAGAGCCATACTCATCACAGGAGATGAAGCCGCCATCACTGGGGGAGCCAGAGACAGAGGCATTGCAGCTGGAGGGGCGAGGAGCACTGCTTTCAGAGCAAGAGGACAGACTGACAGGGCTGGGGGTGGCTGTGGGTGGGGAGTGGGACAGAGGCATGGACATGGACTTACTGTGCTGGAGGGAGGAGGATTCAAATGTCTGGCAGGGCTGGGCTGTGATGGTGTTTGATCTCCCTAATAGGGTCCGGTGAATACTGGGGCTGAGGGGACTCCCGTTCACAGGCAAGGGGCGCGCCATGGTGCCGTCTCCCTCGCTGGCAGTGCGTATCCGACAGGAGGTGAATTTACTCATGGGGGACGTCTTGGCCATGCTGTCAGTGCGCGACCGTCGCTGGAGCCCGGTCTGGCTTGGGGGGAGGTTGTTGTGGTGCCGCCGGGTGGGCACGGAGATGGGGTTAGTGCCCGATGACTGGCTCTTGCTGCGCGGCCGGAACTCTGACAGCTCCTTCATGGCTTTCATCGCCTCCAGGATAGTCTCATGGATGTTTTGCGCCACAACAGAGTCGTCAGCCTGCATCCACAGCTCGCCGGGTCCCGTGGCTGCTGACCGGCCGAGCTCGATGAAGAAAAAGCTCTCTGAGTGCCCGCATCTCCGAATGTTCATCAGCTGTAAACTGACGGACGCCACATCCGAGTTGAGCTTTACAAAGCTGATAGTCCGACTAGATAAGCACAGCCTGTACACCCCGGTAAGATTCCGGCTCTGTCCCAGCCCTTTGGATTTTAGGTTCACTTGCCATACCTCCTTATACACAGCCGTTACCGGCGTAATCATCCCGTAGTTCGCCTCATCAAACCCCACCAGCGAGGACGCGGAATTGGATGCGGAGCCGTCTGAGTACACTTTCCCCTCGCTCATTAAATCAGTTAAGACTCCGTACCAATTCTCCTGCTCCTGTTCATTCTCTGCCGCCACAGCAAAATACTCGTCCTTGGTATAGAGGGCAATAAGGTGTTTGTGTTTGGAGTCCGCTCTCTTGTTGATATTGAGGCAGCAGTCCAGAGGAATAACCCTCTTTGCCGCCGACTTGTTTTTCCATTTCTTCTCGCTCTCGTAGTACTCCAGCCGGGCAGGGAAGCCCTCGCTCGGCTCCTTCAGAACGAAAAAGCGCTTGTGTCCGTGCTTCTGCTTCTTGAGGTATCCACATTTCTTAATCTTGTTGTTGTTAATATTCGCGTTGGATAACAAGTGTCCTCCTCCAGTATTTGGGGGATTTGCCATTCTATCGTCCTTTATAAAACAACTCTCACTTTCCTTAACCTGTTGTTATATTCTCACTTATCGAAGGCTGGAGAGATAAACTCTGTAGCCTATAGGCCGTATCTCTCGAAGGCTCTGTTTCACTCCAGGCGCCGGTTGTGCGTCCGGCGTATGTAGCGGTTTAACAGTAAATAACCCATATCGCTAAGTTACCGAAGTGAAGAGAGAAACAACATGTGACGTTCTACACATCCAGCTTTGGTTACATAAAAAAGAGTAGGGCAGGGAAAAAATACACACACTGACACTGGGGCGGTGCAAGCCGACGGGGCGTATCTGCAAATCCGCCTATTTGATGAGCTCATGGGCTCATTGGTGGAGAGGGCTGAATGATAGTGAAAGACTCAGTCAGATGGGAGAGAAAGCCCTCCCACATACTCACACACACACACACTCCTGCCCTCTTCCGACTCACCCTGGGTACGGTTGGTACTGTCAACCCGCTCATCTGTCTATGATGCATTTATGCATAACTGCCTACGTGTATACTCTTCTCCCAGGGCAACTTATCAATTTATGCATTAAGAGGCCTATCACAGATCTTGTTGGCTATTTGGGTTAAGTATTGATGTAATAGTTTATAATAATAATAGTAATAATAATACGTTTCAGAGTGTATAAACTGATTGAAGTTTGTGGGAATGTAGGCATGTAAGCACAATCATTTAGCTACACCACAAACATTTCGCTACACCCGCAATAAAATCTGCTAAATATGTGTATGTGACCAATACAATTTGATAAATGTTAATTTATGCCTTTTTTTCTGAAAAGTTGGATATGTGATGTCAAGAAAAAATAATGCCTATATTAGCCTACATATCCTAATACAAGGCTTGTGCAACAGTTTCACCCTTGGCACTTAAAGAACAATCAAATTATGATATAAAGCATTAGGTCTATTCGTATTTGATTACACATAAATTATTACACAATTCTAAAAACACTATGTATGATCTAGTAGATTCTACAATATATTATTCAACTGCGACTACAACGTCACTGGGGCGCACATAGGGAGGGGAGGGTGAGTGCCTGTTCCCAGCGGCTGCCCTCCAACTTCAGAAGAAAATAAGCATAATCTAGATTAGACTGCGGCTCTTGTCACACAGCTAGGCTCGGAGGGAAAGCCGGAGAGATCGAGGGAGCGCCTCTGACGCAGGGGAACACTCGATAATTCCCTTGCGTCCCCGATCATCATACCCTACATACATGTCTGCGCCATGATGGCAAGGGAGTTATGCAGTTCTTCTCCCTCTTTCCTCTCTTACAACATTAGGCAAGAAGAGAATCATTAAACGGTGAAATTGTAAACAAATGTGTCTGTGAGAAGGAGCGACAGAGCTCACTGCGCGCAGCGTAGTTTGTTACGTAACGCGCGCGCCCACTGATCTATTTTAAATGCGCACAGGCTCCCAACCGTTCAGCACGAGTGGCTCTAGCGTTTCCGACTACTGTATCCTTATTTGCATGCGTAGGTATATTTGCCTTTGCACACTGTGTGTGAGCAAAGGGGAGGTGGTGACCACTGAACATATGGATGCTGTGTGTATTCGATGTTCTGGAGATGCTGCCTGTATTGTTTCGTCTGTGCTACAGCACAGATACAAGCTGGGATGGGAGGGAGAGAGTCCCTCTCAACATGAAAAACAAAAAAATCATGACCCAAATATGGTTAAATTATATATTTTTGTTTTATATTGACGCACAGTCATTGGTCCTGATCTTGGTGCGTCAGCTGCTGGTGATGTGCATAGTGATGAAGATGAGCTGTGCCCTGCTGGCTATCGCACAACCCAAAATCCTGCCCATGCCGCCCATCCCCGATTATTTTCCAGTAGAGAGGAGAGGCGGTCTTTTATGAAAAACACCATGTCTGTCTGCCAGGCAAGGTGATGGAAGGTGGTGTTGTTCTGTTCGGTGGCACTACATTCTGCCGGTGAACAGTGGCGGCTCCTGAAAAAATTCTCAGGAGGGGCAATTTTTCTGATGATTTAGGTGACCTACACACATTTAAAAAAAGATATGTCCAGCAACAACATGAAGACAGGGGCAGCATATAAGTCAATACCAGAAGCATTTATTGACTGATCTCAAAAGTGTTGGCTTACCAGGGTTGGTGGAGCCCTCAGTTTCATCTTTGCCTCGCAAAGCTAACTCAAACACTCCGCAAAACTTCACACACTGGATTAGCCGGCTGAGGATGTGGCGGTTCTTGCTAATGTCGTAGTAAATATATTTGTTATAGTGAATATGGAATATGATATGTTGAGTAAAATGTTGTGCTAAGATCTATTTAGGTCAGGAGCTGGTTATAAGTTCTGTTCCTATCCAATAACAATGGACAAAAGGGTCCTATCTTGTCAGCCTTGTCAGCAGGTGGCCAAGGACAACACCCACGCCATAGGCCTCTCAGTTCTTCCAACTCACGAGTTCTTGCTCTGAGGACACACACACACACAAACACACACACACACACATCATCACTGTTAAACACACACACACACACACATCATCACTGTTAAACACACACACACACACACACACACAAAGATCCCCTCTCTTAGGCTGAACATTTGAAGACAGAGAACCCGACTCAGAGCCAATGCAACAGTGACAGTAGCCTGGAGGTGACCTCGCCCAACTCATCAGGACCAATCAGAAGATCAGAACTACTAGATTGAACCTACTTCATTTATTGCATAAAATGTCTGCACACAATGTTTCGGGGCTCTCTTCAGATAATAATAATAATAATAATATGCCATTTAGCAGACGCTTTTATCCAAAGCGACTTACAGTCATGCGTGCATACATTTTTGTGTATGGGTGGTCCCGGGGATCGAACCCACTACCTTGGCGTTACAAGCACCATGCTCTACCAGCTGAGCTACAGAAAGTGGATACTCATGGATGCGCATTGCAATTGTAAAATGTCAACACAATTGGAGACACCACGTCATTTTTGGAGACATGTTATTGACAGTAAACTATTGTAGATGCGACTGCTAACTAAATAAAACATTTTAGCTGGCTAGCTAATCATCTTAGCTAAATGTGGGGCAAACAATTCAGTTATTTACCGTTAATTTGAGGGATTGGGGTGAAAGAAATCGAGTTACATAGTGATACTTTACGATATACTGTATTGACAATATCGCAATATTTTAGCGCTAGTTGGCTGTACCTGCACCAAAACATCATTATTGTTTCTTCATAGCTTGTTCTCAATCTTTTCACATTGGGAGCCAATTTGTTTTCAGCACTTTTATTTCCATGACTGATCAAAACTCGTTCTCATGGCTTTCTGATCCCTCTGCAACAGACATATGGTGCGCAATAAAATCACAGTATTGAATCGCAATACGTATAGAATCATGAGACTCGCAATGCTGATGCATATATCTTATCGTGAGGTTCCTGGCAATTCCCAGCCCAAGTTCATTTGCCACAACAAATCTCTTCGCTAGCAAACGCGATGTCTTCTCCAAAACGGCAATGTGTCTCCAGCAATGTTTACTTTTTTGACGTTCTATGGCATCTCCACTTTCCAAGCATATATGACCACATGTAATATTTTGGTAAGTGATGCAAATAGTGAACTATGTAGGGCCAGGATGTAAAATATATGTAGCTGCAGCAATTTCTCTTATCTGATATGGTAAGTAATGGGGCTTAATTTATAGCTCCCTAAGAGTTTGACGAACGGGTCCGTGAACGCGATTCCAGATATATTTACCTCTGAATAAACTGCCTTTATTACACCATATCCACCCTGTCCAAAGTCTCTACTTGGTCTCAGTTGGTTCTCCAGTAAACTTGTGATTATCAACACTAACCTCATCGTTGTGGCGGCGGACAGCTAGCCTGTATCCCTCGTCATCCAGTTGAGTGAGTGGCAATGTCTTTTTTCGTTCGTACCAATTTTTGGAAAATCCTCGGGTGTAGGACTTTCCGCCTTTAGTAGAAACCTGTTGAATTATTAAATTTGGTCTGGGAGGTCCTAATTGTTTCGTTGCCAATTTATCTTCATTTGTTCGCCGACAAAAAGGAACTTCTTTCAAACAATCCACTCTTTTCTCAGTTACGTTCATGGTTACGTAACGTATGACGAAAGCGCGTAAGTGCAAGCCCACAGACACCCATTGAGATTGTATTGAAGGCTCTGAAATTTGAAAAAAATAGATTTTACATGGGAGTCTATGACAGACTTCTGGCCGATTTTCAACCTGACTGAAATCGCCCCAAAAGGGGGGGGAGCCATTTGAAGCACGACTTTAGCCTGATTCGACATTTAGTGACAGTGTGGCACTGTGGCAGATCAGACGTATAGATTACAACACTGATAACTACTGTTGCCGTGATATAATTGATTAGAAAAAAAATCCCTTCCTTTTCCCGTTTGGCAGTGCGTCGCCCATATCGCCCTATTGAACAGGCCGCCCCTGCCGGTGAAGCAGATTTTCCAGGAATGGATGATCGAGAGATGGTAGATGGTGACAGTTGATGGGAAGCTTGACACCTACTAAAACTATGAACTCCCCTTAATTAGTGCCACTAATACTGTTAATAAATATAACATGAAAGTCATTCTTATGTCATGTAGTGGATTACAAAGAAGATGCACTGCAATCACTGCACATTTCAGATCTCAATTTGAACACCCACAGTGTTAAACTTCAAGATCATGAACATTCAAAATCATGGTTTTCATGAAATGTGATAATATTTGGATGAAACCAGATCAAAGTATGATGACCAAAGTATGAAAAATGACTGTTGTGTCTACATTGATAAAGTTTGATCATAAAGTTACTGGTCGCTTCCTCCATATCCAACACTTGGATTCAGGAGGTGGGATTATTAAGGGGATAGGGTGACATCACCCTAAGGCTCCTTTTAATACACCAATGTTAACATGATATTCTCATAACGAATTTAAATAAGTACCGCCTTGTAAC